GGATGTTTTCATATCTTTATTACATGGACCTATGTGCAGCCCCCGCTCTTCGAGGCTGAGGTGAGTCTGGAGCATCCTGCACTGACCTTGGTGATGAAATGGGGGTGTTAAACACCCTGTTGTCACTAGTGGCTCCTGCCTAGCTAATTGGCAGGTTAAAGTTCCTAAAGCCGTCCTCTTCTTCTGCATGCAAAGCAGTGTCTCGTCCTTGCGATCTGGATCTGTTCGTGGGGTCTGTTGTTCGTCTGGTCACATCCCAATGTGCAGCGCTGGGAAGGAGGGAAAGTACACGGTGAGAAACCACATCTGAGCATGGAGTGCCCTGCAGATGGTCTGGAGACAATTTGTGTCTGTAGGCAGATGCCAGCAAGAGCACTGAGCTGGTAACGTGCATCCGAGCGGTTTGAGCTGGGGGTAGTTATGAAGAGCATTAACACAGTTCTGTTTGAGCTGGAGCTGAGTTAAATCTCCTAGAAATAAAATGAAAATGCAGCATAAAGAAGGAGGCAGCCCCTTCAGCATTCGTCTATCCAAAAGGAGCTATGTTTCGTGCCTGCCAAGCATTTAATTTCCACCCAACAAAACTATTTGGAGGTGTTTCCTAGAAAAACATAACCCTCTAGAATGACACCCTTCTTCTGCAATAAGAAGAAAGGTAACTTGAAGACAGAGGATGCATTACTCCAGGCGAGAGGTCTGTAACATTCCTTCCTTCATGAACAGCTCTTACAGCTGCAGAAACCCTACCCGGCGCTGGACAAACTATTTATTTTGGAAGGCTCTCCAGAGCTGCACCTTGCAGAGCTGCGTGCCCGTGACCCCGCGCGACCGGCAGGCTCCCCTGGGGGTGATTCACCTGCATTGGGTCACGTGTGGGCACACGCTGCCGAGCGCTGAGGAACAAGGAAATGAGCATTGTCCGGGCCAGGGGCTGTCCCAGCGAGCTTGCGCTTGGTGTGCCCCAACGCTGCTACGAGAGGGTGTCGCGCTCTGCTGAGGAAAGGTTGGTGATTGCTTGCCCCTCCAGTCTGGGGGTTGGATGTTGGTTTGGGGCCGGGGAATGCACGTAATGCTGCTGCTTGGTGCTTTGCTGGAGGGGGAAAGGGCAGTTCTGGACTGGTCCGAGATTGTCACGTCTGAAGGAAGGTCTGTTCCTTTTGTTATCGTCTCTCTGAGCTTTTCCACAGGTGCTTGGTGCTCTCCTCTATCCGAGGGGTCGGCAGAGCTGTTGGCTCTGGCGCTGCCCAGCTGCAGCAGGGCACGGTGTATGCTGCCTCTCGTGGCACTGCAAATCCAGCCCTGCAGGTGAAGACAGCAGGAGCTGCAGCTGTGGGGAAAAGGCTCTTGGCACCTAAATGCTGGTAGGCAGTTCTCTGGTTCGCTAGATGGGGGCAGAGAGGGGCATGAGGAATGATGGAAGCTCCCTGAGTAACACCTGGAACGAGCGAGCATCAAAGTCCCTTCCTCTGGAAGAGAAGCCGTAGCATGACACGGGTCTGCAGAGCGAGCAGCGTGGGGTGGGTGGAAGCAGAGCAGTTGTTACTGGGTTTTCTGATAAAAGGCTCGGGGATATCAGACGAAGCAAGCAAGCGGCAGGTCAAAACAAAACGCGGGCAGATACTTTTTCATTGACTGTGGGGCTTTGAGGATATTGCAAATGCCTCGATGTGGGTTCAGCAAATAACAAGGAGGGTCTGTGAGGTGCACAGGGGTTGCTCTTGCTGCAAGAAGGCCCTGCCCTGCCCCTGCAGGATGCTGAGCATGGGCTGGCTCGCTGTCCTCTCCCCAGCTTCATCCCCTCATCCCTTGCTGGGGATGAGCTTGTGTGTCACAGGGCAATCTAGCTGTCTGTGGCCATCCCTCTGTCGTTAAACTGGGCGCTGGAGAAGCTGCTGGGGGACAAGGTGTGCAGCTCCCACCGGGCTGGGTTGACAGAGCAGCCCTCGCTGCTTTGCCAGTGCCTGGGCTCTGGGCTTCCCGAGCCGCACAGCTGCTGAACGTGCTGTCACAAGTCTCTGCTGCTGGCTGGAGCATTTTTTTCTTCTTGCTGTGGCAGCCAAAAGAAATCAAATGCTAACAGAGGATGAGGCGCAGCCAGTTGTGCCACACGGTAGGTCATGCCTCGGCTTGTCTCTGCACTGCCCTCAGCACCCACGTTGTCAACACTGCTGGGTGTGCAAGTTGATCTCTGTGATAATCTCTTCCCCCAAAAAAGCAGTTGGAAGGAAGTACATTGGACATCCAGTGTCCTCAGATTTCTGGTTGTTACTGGAGCCACGTTAAGCTGCTTTGCCCACCCTTGTGTCATGACAAGTGGCAGGACCTGCGGGGCTGCTCCCATCACGGTGCTGCAGTGCCTGAGAGCAGCCCGAGTGTGCTCGGTGTGGATTTCAGTGGATGCCACTGATCCAGACCCAGGTAATTCCCTCAATACTCACCAGTTTGGCTCCTGCTGCCAGAGAGCTGGGAGGGGTCTCCCACCATCAGGGGTAAAGGAGGGAGCAACTTCTTTGTGCTCAGCACTTTGTGCCCAAAGACAATTTGTTTCAGTGTGCTAACAAAGACATTTGCACCAGGAAAGTCCCAGTCTAGGATCAAATCTGCCCCGGCACTGCCTGGTGGCTCCCATCATCGCCTTACAAATCTACAAGGATTTTGTGTTTCCCATGTTTTGCCTGAGGCCCGTGGGGTCCCAGCTTTCTTGCGGCTCTGCGGAGGTGGGTGCCCGCACTGTGCCCACCCCCGTGCTCCCTGAGCTGTTCATTAGCAGGGCTTTGAGGGGGGAGAGGGTTCTGGGTAATGTCACAAAGCAAATCAAAGCTGTGTGGTGCTGCTGAAGGAGTGAAAGTGTCAGCTCTGGGATTAGGCAACCTGGAGGAGTTTTAGCCTTAATCCACTGCAGTCACAGAGCCAAGCAAACAAGCAATGCACTCTCCCTGTCCCCTTGGGGGGGTAACTGGGGGTTCTCCCATTTCAAGCCTCTGAGATGGGACATCACGGTGTGCCCATCGGAGACTGCATGGCTCAAGGCACAGCAGTGATGGTGCCGTGTGCGGGGATCCTTTGTGAGCTGTGTTTGCTCCTGCAGGCCTGGGTCGGCAGCTTTGTGGCTCCTGAGCTGCCAGCAAAACCTCCAGCTGGAGCAGCCTGCTGGACCGGCCCTTTTTCCCACAGAAAGCACATGAAGTGGTTTGATTTTTAACTATTTTGAAACAAAAGAAGGATTTGGCTGTTTGGTTTCTGTTAACCTTTTCCTTCTAGCGTAACTGTTCCGAGAAGATAAAGCATTCCCAGAAAAGGGCCGTTTACAAAGAAGCATTTTTTGCAGTTTTTCTAATTGACTGCCCTCCTGATGAATAAATATGAGCTTCTGCTGAAAATGTTTTCTGCAGTAATTTCAGCCCACATGTCATGGGGTTGTTAAAAATAAATAAAAATTCTAGAGAAGCAAATACTGTGAGAAATGTGTCCCTAGATAGCTTTAAAAAAAAAAAAAAATCTGTCCCAGAAATTTCTGTAAACCTGTCTTTTTTAGAAGTAAGATTGTGCCTGAGAGCCAGAGAGAATAGGAGATGGGGACCAGAAGTGGAAGTGCCTTGCCAAATGGGGTGAAATGCAGGTTTAAATGGTAGAAATTAATCGGTTTCATTTTTTTTTTATTACTGTTTTTGTTCCAAATGAAGTGGTATTAATGGTTTCTCTGATTATAAAAGTTGTAAATGTAGTGTGACATGCACAACCATGGTTGCTTTAAAGAAATATATGAAATGGTAAATTTTCCTCTTTCCCTAAAATGCTTTGTAATAATTACAGTGTTTTTATGACAAGGTCCATTCATTTCAGTGCTCAGACTTTTATTATGTCCTGTGGTGTTTGTTGTAAGCATTACAGACTGATGCCAGTTCTTCTACATGTTGTTACACCCTTTTGAAACAAACATTTGGGAATGTATCATGTGGAAAACACCATTAATCTGTAAAATAATGTCAAAGGAGGAAATATCTGCACTTGACTTCGCATAGGCCAGCTCAAGAAGAGGTGCATCAGGTGGAGGCAGTTGCAGGCGGGGTGACAAAAACACTCGGAAGCGGAGCTCTGACGAGCACGCAAAGGAGTTGGAGTGGTGCTGGGTGGCTCAGGAAGGCTGGCTGCCACTGTGGGCAGGAGGACAATCTGGGGACAGGCAGCAGAGGAGGCTTCCTGCTGCGGTTAGCTTTTCCCCCATCAGGGGAGAATTTAGTGACCTGGCTCCCAAGGCTGTGGCTTTGGGAGAAAAAGCCACATGATGAAAGCCACAGTCACCTGATGGGCTTGGACACGGTGGGAAAATCCCACCTGGTGAGCTAGAAACTGCTTCCACGGACGGGAGCAGAGCTTCTCTTCCCTTGGAGGTGCACCTTCCTGCCCTCAGGTTGGCCGGGGAGAGGAAAAGGGATAAAGCAGCAGAGCAGCACATGATTGACTCTTCCTCCGCACCCTGCAGCCTCTGGCTGTTTTTGGTGCCTGCTGAAATACCGAGTGCTCTGTTTGAACAGCAAGTATCAGTGCAGCTGAAGGCACAGTGCGCTGGTGTTAGCAGGTGAGCAGTCTCTGGCATTGCACGGCCTGACATGCAGCAATAACACTTGCAGATTGCTGGCCGGTCGTTTTCCAGTTGCTTTGCAAAGGCCAGCTGCTTATCCTTGGTCTAATTTAGGGCAGGAAGAAGTGAGGAACAGAAGAATGGAGATAAAATGCAAGCAAGCAATTTGGTAATTCATATGCATATCTTGCTTATAGCCCGCTGAGTCAACTGTTTACCTGTTAGCAGGCAAGCAGCTAAAATAAAATCCTGCCTGGGTTAGGTTAGCACCGTGTGAGGAGCTGTAGGATGGGGAGGAAAGTAGGGCAGCTCGTTTTGGAACTTGTGCTGAAGAACAAACAAAAACCCCCAACGTACACATTCGGTTACCATATGGCGCACTTATCATGAACGGCATCTCGGTGCTGTTTCTTTGCAGGGATGCTTGAACTCCACGGAAGCAGACTTCGCCGCTGAGGAGAGCACACGCTGGAGGTGCCGGGGCTGCCGTTGGTGAGACGAGGCAGCTAAGGCGGGCGGCGAGCTCGCTCCTTGCCGTGCGTGCCTGCTTGATTGACATTGGCTTCCAAATCGCTGCGACTGTGCCTGAAGAAAAGCGAAGGAGCATCGTTTTGCTGGGAGAAATTTCCTGGCAAGGGAAGACATGCGGAGCAGAGAAACGTGCCAGGGAAGAGCTGCCTAGCGCCTGCAAGTGCAGGTCCAGGTGCTAGCACAACTTCCACCCAAGCTGGCCATGCTGCTGTGAAGTCCTTTTCTCCCCAGCACCAGGGCGGGCTGCACCGGGGGCTGCCCATGGCACTGCGGCGTGCTGGGCTGGATTAGTTGTCGGTGTGTCACTGCTTTGGCTGGCTGAAGAGCTGAAGAACAGCACAGGGAAGATGTTGGACCTGAGCTTCCTGACCGAGGAGGAGTATGAGAAGCTGATGAAGGTTCTGCAGAGGGATGCGGAGCTAAAGAAGAAGGACGGGGATCGCATCAGGTGAGAGAGCATGCAAAACCAGCCAGATGTGAGCTCCCACTGGGGGGATTTCTTTACTTCTTTTAGAGGAGGATGTGTGTGTGTGTGTGTGTGTGTGTGTGTGTGCACAGGGAGAGATACAGGCTGCAGTAGTGCTGTCCCTTCATGCCTGGATCCCCAAGGATCTTTTCATTGCACCTCCTGCTTTTGCAGCGAGCCTGCTGTGCTGCCACCCCTGCTCTGTGGGACTGAGGGGCTGGGCTCTCCTTTTGCTTAATCAGTATCCCTCAGAGATGCCAAGGGGAATGCCCCTTTCCTGCTTTGGGGGGAAGATGCCAATTTCTCAGTGTCAGGGGTCAGAGCAGGGCAGTAGGTGCCATGCCGCCTTGTTTTCCTCACCCAGCAGCAGGAATCCCTTGCGGTGTTTCTAAGTGAGAGTTTACATCCTGATCCCCTCTCTGCCTGTACACAGCAGGCAGAGAGGGGCGGTGAGAGGCTACGTGATCTGCCAAAGGTCTGCGGGGAGCCAAGAATCACTGTGAGTCCAGCATGCTCGCCTCCGGGCATCCGGGGGCTCAGCTCGGGCTGATCGGGATTTGCTTGTTGCTGCTGTCACTTTTTAAATGCCAGCCTTTCCGCCATCTGCTCTGACAGTATGCACCGGGCTCAGGAAGCTGCCACCAAATTCCCCATGGCTAGGAATGAGTAGCTCAGTGGGTGGGGATGGCACTGTGCCACATTACCCTGCCCCCGGTAAGGATGTGATTCTTTGATTTCCCGTTGAGTCAAAAAAAATAAAGGGTAAGCCCCTTGTAGGAGGGATGCTTGGGGATCGAAGGGGTGAGTGGCTTTGCAGCAGGCTTTGGGGAGCCTCTGATTCCTGCCCGCTTGGGGTCAAGAGCTGGTGGTGGCACACAAGCAGCTTGGGCACCTGTGGTAGGGGTTTCTTCTGGCCTCTGAGATCTCTCAGGGCTCCTGAACTGTGGCTAGCTGTAGGAGGCAGTGCCAGCTGAAAGGCAGCTAATCCACTGAGCAGTAGTATAAAAACAAAATAACTGGAGGAGAGTTAAAAGCACAGGGTAAGCAAACAGAGCACTGAAGGATTTAGGTGCCAAAACCCAGCCCTGGGTGTGCCCAAGCTAGTTACAGTAAGAGAAGCTGTGCTCAGGAAGGAGAGCTAACTGTTTGTGTGCCAAAATCAGCGTGGCAGGAGGAGCAGGCTCTGGGGAGAATGGTGAGGGCCAGGTTAGTGCCCTGGATAGCAGAATTTATTCCCCCAGTGTGCATCAGATTTGATCCATAAAGAGCAGCTCATAACGACATGAACAGACAAATAAAATAAAGAAGTGCAGGACTTGTAAACAACCCCACACCTCTCCAAACCCTCAGGGCTGCAAAGGAAATGTACAAATCTCCTTGCCAGGTGACTCAGTTATGAACATGCAGTTTGTAAGAGGTGAAGGCCTGTGCTTACAAGGCTCTGTTCCTTCTTCAAAAATAAAATAAGTCAGCTTTCACTTTTATGCTTGTTTGGCCCTTACGATTGCAGGGAATAACCTCTGGATCCTTTGTAGTAGCAGATAGGAGAATTGTACATATAGCTGTCATGAAAGAGCTCAGGGAAAGTTGAAACATTGGAGATCTTCTTAGTGTGTGATGTTCTCGTTGGCTTGCAGGAGGATACAAGGCTCCATCAAGGATGAAAAGAAGAAGAAGTTTGTGACAGGCGAGTGGTTTTCGGAAGTGAAGGCAAAACGGTTTCAAGAAGACTTGGAGGGGTCGGATCTGCTTCGGGCATCGATCAGAAGGAAAAAGGGCAAAGTAGAAAGTAAGCATGTTACTGTGTGCCGTAAGTAAACCAATTGATGGACCAGGAAACAGTGGCCAGGTGTGTGGGTCTCCCTGCACTGGGAGCCTCTTGGGGACCAGTCTTTATGTTTTAAGAAAGAGGTTCTCAGCCAAATTGTCAGTACTAGAAAAAAAAAAAAAGATTGTCAAAATTCAGGGCCCAAAATAAAAATTACAGTGTGGCAGAGGACCAAGATAAAAGCTGTTTACCAGCTCCATGCAGTAAATGTCTTTTCCCCATTTCAACTACTTTATTCCAAAATATGTATTTATCGGAGGTCACTGGTATCATTTCTTGTCATGGAAGCAGGAAGTGAAAGCAATGATATGGGGTGGTTTCTGGCACCAAGCTGATATGTGTGAGTCAAAGCCCCCTCCAATTCCTAGAGTGATCTGATGGAAAACAGCCAGCTGCTCTGGCAGGCCTCCAGGATGGAGGGGTCAGTCTTGCCTCTTGTCTCCTGGCAGAAAATTTGCCCTCTCTGAGAGGAGAGTGATGGCCCTAGCTTTTTACCTGGGAGTAATTCCAAGGCACAACGTGGCTTTCAAAGTAAAAAGGGCTTTGGGGCCAAGTCTGAGTGGTACCCAGGCTGCTGTGCTGTAGTGTGGCTTGTCTGGCACCACGTGCTGATTTGAAGCAGATGTACTGCATGATGTTCAACGTGCAGCTGCACTAGTGGTGGCATACACAACAGATCAGGTCAGATTTGCTGGCTCAGGGCAATGGAGAGAAGAGAGCAGCCCCACGTGAAATGAGCAGGGCTGTGCTTCGAGTCCAAGGTAACCAGCCTAGAGCTGGCACTCGGTGCTGAACATTTGTGCAAGGCAGAACTGACTCACACCCAGTCCTCAGCGTGAAGACAGGCCAGCCGACTCTGCAGCAGGCCTGTGGAACTGCAGCCCAGCCTCCCACAACCTCCTTGCTTATTTATCAGGGTGGGTAATCACAGATACGCAGGCTTGGTGGTGTGTTAGTGGCTGCTGCTGCTCGAAAGCAATAGCCATGATAGAGAGCTCCTCATAAAGTCCTAATACAAAGACCTTATAACTGGGCTCTGGGAGGTTAGGGTTGTCTTCCATCTGTCCAAAACTCAAATGTCTCCTCCACCAGTTTGGTTCAGCCAAACTGGGTCCATATTTCCATCTTGGGGTTGCAGTAACATAAATCACTCCTTTGTTTGCTGGGCCTCATTGGCCAGGATTTCTCTGTAACATTAATTTCCTCCCCTTTCCGAACCCATTCAGGTTACCCCTCTTAGCTCCACGTTACTCAGACACACTCAAAGCTAAGCAGTGGCCAGGGACTTCGCTAACCGAGAGCTTCATTTTCTTTTTGCATTTTGCTTATCCTTCACAGCTCTTAACAGTAACTCAGCATAGATTCATTGGAACCTCTGATGCAGAACTGGCCCGTCATATTTCACATAGAGTTGCTTTTATCCTTGGTATTAAGGATTCATTATGTCATTAAATTTACTATTTTGTCATCCCTCCAGAATGCTAAAACATGTAAAACCTTTTACAGCTTGGCAGAGTTGCCTGGCCATTTCTGCAGGGCATACTCTGTTTGCTGAGGATGTGCATTTGTGATTTAACTCTTACTGCCAACATGTACGTGTGAGATATGGCCTGTGTACGTATGAGATATGGCCTCAGGTTAATGTCTAAAATAATCTCTTTATTAATCCAGCAGTTGTATACAAGTTATGTTTTTGCATGTGCGTTTTCAGTACTTGGCTAATGCTGTTTTAAAGAAGGATGAAGCAAATATTACTGAACTACTTTACCAATTATGTTTAGACTTAGTCCTCTATTTCTTTTACCTTGTTATCTCCTCTCTCTTTATCTTTTTCTATTCATAACCTTATTATGGTAAAGCACAGGTATAATATGACTTTATTGCCTCCTCTTACTTTGCCCACTGCTACTTTACAGCAGGGGCTGAGGACCGAGACTCTGCAGCTAGTATTTTCACCTTGCTGTTACCTTTTGCACGCCCAGCTCCCACAGTCGTTATTGCATAGGGATTGCCTCCCCTTGCCCACGGGGGCAAGCACTTCTCTCGTTGACTTGCCAGCAACAGGATTGCTCTGGTGAGAGCAGCACTTGCCCCACTGGGGAAGGACAAGATTTCCAAGTGGTTTGGCCACTCAGCTCCTGTTCGATCTGCAGTAGGTGAGATAAGGGCCTTTGCTCGCCATCTTGACACCTTTTCGAGGTGATGAAGGGGTTTCTGTCCATTTGCTCAAATAAACATAACATATTTGTGGCTTCAGGGATATTAATGCTGATTTAAGTCTTTGATAATTGTGTTAGGGAGTGAAATGAGAAAACTCCTGCCCAGAAGAGCCCCACCGAGGTAATTGCTGGCATTCCCTTTGCATGGCAAATGGGCTGAGGAGAGTGGGCATCCATGCCTGCACAGAAAAAGGCCCAGTGACCTTTCCTCGAGGTGGGTGTTAACCTTCAGAAGAGACCGCTGTGTGGTTCCCTAAGGGGTTCACAATTGCTATTGATTGTAACAGATGGCAGTAATAATTGGCATCAATATAAATCTATAAAAGAGATACCCTGTATTCAATCTACAGTCTACAGAGTGGCACAGATGGATGAATTTGGTGCTAACTTCTCCTTGAGCTTGTGTGCAATGGATGAAAGCTAAAAACTGTCTAGCAGAGAGGCTGTTTTATCCCCCTACCCATGCAAGTCAGTCCTGACAGCACGCTTAGTGCTCAAGTGTTGGGTGTCTGTGTTTTAGAGTGGTAGGAAATGGGTGAAGCAGCTAAAATATTAGAGCAGGGGTGGCTCTGTCCATACACATACACGTACAGACAGGTTGAACTGGTCAAACAACCACTAGTTTCTGCTGGAATTTGCGTCTTAGTCTGTCTCCTGCTGAAGTTACCAGGCGTATTTTGCTCATCTTGATGGATTATAATGCACTGTTAACCTTTTTGTTTGTGGCTGTCGAAGCCAGGTGTAGCTGTGTCGGTGGCTGAGCTGTTTTGACGGACAGGGAAGCGAACACCTCCTGCTGCTGCTGCCAGCCGGAGGTGGGAGCTGTCTGAGGAAGTCTCTGAGGGGGAAGTATCAGTGAGAAGCAGATTTGGTGCAGTGCCTGTGGAAGTGAGGTGAGAAATGAATGCAGACTTTGGTTGTTGAGGTCTTTTCAGTCACAGCAGGCAGAGGGAAAATGTGGGAGCCCTGTGTTCGGTTTTCTGGTTCTCCGGCAGTTATGTGCTGGCATCTCCCTCCCTTGGACTGGGGCAGAAGAGGAGGATGTGGCTCACTGTGTAAACAAATGCTCCTCAGTGCGTTTTGCTGTGCCTGCAGGTGACATGGCCTGCATGTGCCACCAGCCATGTCACAGCTTTTCTGTCCCACAGTGATGTTCTGCAATGTTTTTTGCACAGAGATGTTTCCATGGACAAAACACAGAGTTCCCAGTACGGGAACACCCAGCTGCAATCTCATGCGCATGGTCCTTGCACAGGCAGCCCCGAGCATCACCTGCGGGGACACAGGAAGGCAGGTAGGAAGGGCTGGGACAGCAGCATTGTGTCAGTGAGGACACACAGACAGCAGGGAGTGATGCTCCATCTCCTGACATGCCCCTTAGCCCTGGGCTGACCGTGCTGGCAGCATACAAGATGCACTGGAGGAGCGCTGCTGTCACAGCCTGTCTGCAGGCCTGATCTGCCCATTGGTTTTCTGCACAAATAGCAAGCAAGGCTGTATTATTTCAGGTCACATCTGAATCCTTTGAGCCTCTGCTTCTATTATAGAATGAAATAGAACCGAAAGAGATTTGGCAGTTTTTGTAAAAGGTAAATTTATTCTTTAAAACAGACCAAGATGCAAGTGAAAAAATATGTGCAACCTTTTTTTTTTTTTTTTTTGACCAGACTAAGCTTAGTTTGTTGTCGTTTTGAGAGTTTAATCCTTCTGGTTTTGCAGTAGCATGAAAGCCTGTTTGCCAGCTGAATGCCTAATGCAACTTTACACCTTGGCAGGCTGCTCTAAAGGTTACCTTCTATTGTTTTTTTCTTTGGGGTCTTTGAGAGCTCAAAAGAAATAGCTGAGCCTTGTGCCAGTAAAAATAACAGGGATCTCCTCATTAACTGTATTGGCCTCCTCCTTTGTTTGCCAAGATCGGATGACTTGGAGTCAAAACAGGAAGCGGCTGAATTTAAATCCTGGAGCGGATTAACTTTATTGACAGCCAGGGCAGGGTCCTGCTAAGGTTTCCAGCAATGCGGCAGCTCCTGGCATGAGCCAGGCGTTGGGCAGCAATCTGTGGGCTCTCAGGCAGGTGGGGCCCGGAGGAGCCACGTGGGGAACGTGGGTGATGCTGCCATGGGGCATCCTCTTCAGAGGAGGCAGTGGGCAGCCCCCAGGCACCACTGCTGAATCCCCAGGGTTTGTGCTGGTGGGACTCATTTCCCAAGCCTTTGCTTGCCCCAGATAGCACACACTGGCCATTGCAAGGTCAATTAAATGTAATTTTTCAATTCTCTGTTACATTACAGATGAGGTTAACGAGCACATCCGGAGGGGGCTGGACAGCAGAGACGCCCCAGGTCCTCCCTTCCACGAGCACGCTGCTGGCACAGGAGAGGAGAGGTAACTGCCACTGCTCATGCAGTGCTCTGGCTGCTGCTCGCATTTCTAATGAAAATAGAATGCTACCCATTAAATCCTGGTCTTTAACTGAATTTCCAAGCCCATATTGGTAATAGGTTATATAGGATATTTTTAAAATCCTTTTTCCAGGAATTGTCAGAGTATCAATCCTCTACTACTAACTAAGTGCTAATGTGCTTATGCCAGAAAGGTCTTTTCCTGCGTGATTTGATAAGGGGTCAGAAAAATGGAAGCCGTCTCAAATGCCAGGATATTCTGGGTACTTTTTCAAAGTAATTATGGCTTTTTATTTTTATTTATTTATTTTTGCCATGGAGCAATGCTAACTAAATGAACTGTTTTAGAAACTGTTCGTTTCCTGCTGGTGCCAACCACTGTGTCCAGTGCTCAGTACTCACTGACGTGGCTTGGTAGATTTCGAGTTGTGCTTACTGTGCAGAAACATCCACTAAAAGAACCTCAGTGAGCAAATCAGTGACCTCACTCAATATCTGTGGACTATGGAGAAGCCAATTAAACACCCACATTTTCATTTATTGTTGCTCCCATCTCATTTGCATTCTTTTGTCAGCAGAATGAGGAATTATTCTTTACAGGCAGCAGTTGCTACAATTAATTGTTAAATATGGGCCTTGACAACAGTTCCAGACCTCCTGCAGCCAAACAATGGGTGTTGTGTGATGGAGGACCAGTCACATGCCCAAGACATTTGTGCTTGTTTTGGTCCTAATGTTTTTTGTAGGATTTACTAAATCCTGAGAAGCTTGCTTCATCTTCCTCATTCAGCCCTAAACATGAAGCATTTCCATCTGAACTCTCACCAGGGGTCCAACTTGACAGTTCTCCATCTGGAGAGCAGCCACCACTAGACACTAGCAAGGACAGGAGAAGCAGTGGGGAAACTGTGATACGTGTTTCTTCCATTTAGTTACCAGGCGGTTAGTAATTAACTTATATTCCAAGTGTGAAGATCTATATCCCGTACTATAGTTTTGCCCTGACTATTGATGGCATAAGCATTCCTGGAGTTCCTGTATGCTTGATTAATCCAGTTATACCTCTGGCACCAGATCCGGGTGGCCTTATATTGGGCTGGGTTCTTAGCTAAAAGTGGCAAAGCAGCCGAGCAGAACAGACACAATGCTGAAGACTGTCACATTGCCTGCTCAGAAGACGCCTGATCAAGTACATCCCTGCCACTGACCTCCTTGCTCAGATGCTTCTCTTCTCCCACAGATCCAGCACACCCATTCTTGATGCTGCAGAAGAGCATAAAATATTGCCAAAACCGAAGCCGAGACTTTCTGTCCCGCTGTCTGCATCACACAAGGTAGTGTAGCCACAGCCTCTGTGTTTGGATTGGTTATTCCTTGGATTTTCACAGTCTGTATCTACTGACAAGGACTCCACAGACTGTCTGCCGTGGTATCTGTGCTCAAATAAACATTTTTCCAGACTTACCAATGTATATAGGGACTTATAAAAGATGTTGCTTTGGCAAATAATGATAGGACAAGGGGGAATGGTTTTAAACTAAAAGAGGGGAGATTTTGATGAGATGTTAGGAGGAAATTCTTCACTCAGAGGGTGGGGAGGCACTGAACAGGCTGCCCAGAGAAGCTGTGGATGCCCCAGCCCTGGAGGTGCCCAGGCTGGATGGGGCCCTGAACAACCCTAGTGGGTGGCATCCCTGCTGATGGCAGGGGGTTGGAACCAGGTGATCTTTGAGGTCCCTTCCAACCCGAGCCATTCTAGGATTCTGTAATTCTATGATAAACACTGACAGGGTTTGTCTTCCATGCAGAAATCCAGTATCCATGATGTCTCTTCCTCAGAGAGTGACACTGGAGCAAGTCCATTCACAGCTACAACAGGCAGCTTACATTTGTCTAGAAAAGGTAAGGTTTTGTTCAGTGAACCACTGGCTATTTCATTATTCAGAGTCAACACCAAGAAGCACGTTGCTTTTCTTTGTGTACAAATGGATAACAAGAAGAATTTCTTATCTTCATGTATAAGAACGGGCTGCCAACATTTGTGTGAAATATGCCCAAGGCAGCAGCAACCAAGAAAAAAATCTCCAATGACTAAAATTTCTCCTGGCTGTCAGTATATTTTACACTGAGTGCTTGGCTAACAACTCCTTAACACGCAGATCCAAGGTACCTTCTCTTTCTTCTCCTGCCTTGAATGTGTGGTGTATTTTTGGCTCATAGCAAATAGCCAGTAGGAAAGCTGTCAAGCTAAAAGCAAAGCTGTGAAAAAATTCCAACTCACAGCAACAATTTAGAGCTCAGTGGGTTTTTTCCCTGTCCTGTTGCAGAAAGAAGAGCTGGCTTTTTCAGGGTTTTCTTCAGAGGGAAGGGGGTTTGCTGGACTCTCAATATAGGGGAGAATTAGAAACATATTGGTGGTTTCTGGAAACCCCTCCTGGCTTCCCTTTGAGAAACCGAAGCCCAGACCTTCCAGGTGAATAAGCTGTGATGCGGTAGGTTGTGAGCCTCTGTTGTTGTTGCAGGTAACGGACGATCTCCACTGCCTGCCATGCTTCCAGAGGATGCTGTGCCTCAGCCCAGCTGTGCAGCGGGAGGAGAAGCTGTTGATGGTGCCACTGGCACCACAGCAGGACCAAAAACTCCACCTGAAGAAACATATGCTCCCAGCAAGATACCGGTTAAGAGGAAATCAAGCAGAACTTTCCCCAGGTCAGAGCAGTTCGTGAATCACCTGGGGCCAGCAGAGAACAGCGTGGCAAAGAGAGAGCTGATGGAAAGCCCCAAATCACTGACTGCAGAGGGGGAAAGCAGCCAGTCTGTGAAGCACGGCGTGAACTATACAATCTCGTCAATGAGTAATAAAGAGGAGGATATTGGCCTCGATCGGGAACACTTCAAGAACTTGAAGAACTTCTGGGAGAAGGGAGCAGACTCTGTGATGGTGGGAAGCATGCCGGAGGACTCGAGCTCGGGGGAGGCAGACGGAAAGCAGTTCAAGCTGTGCCGCTCGCTCTCCGTGCAGTCAGCTCAAGGCCAGAATGGTGAAGAAAAACCCGGAGTCTTCACCAAAACAAGAGCCCCTCACAAAAGGACAATAACTTTGTCTTCCAGCGAGGAAGAGCCAAGCTACGTAGCCCCTTCAAGGAAAGGCTCAGTTGCCTTCATTCCCAGATCCACGTACGCCAAGAGCAAAGGAGGCCCGGTTACAAGAAACAGCTCACTGGGCGAAAGCAACGGGAAGCCGCCGGTGCCAGAGGAAGAGAAGATGGCACAACACAGCTCCAAGAAATCCAGATTGCCTGTGCGAGCGCCTTCCATCAAAATTGAGTCGCCTACCAAAGAAGTGCCTGGCAGCACATCTGAGCCAGAGATGTCTGCAGACAAGTTCATCGTGGCAGAAAAACGCAAGTATGCAAACTGCCTGGCGAGCAGGGTGCAGATACTCATTGACCCTGTGCTTACAGATGATGAGAAAGAGCAAAGAGCTGACATGGGTACTCATGACAGCATGGAAATAAATGGAGAGCCAGCTGAGGAAAAAGCACGTGAGTCTTCAGACAAGCCAACAGGCAGAGCACCAGGCGGAGGGACAGAAGTTGTTCAGGGAACGGACTCAGCTGTTTACTCAGGTACCAAGGGTGTAACTGCACTCTGGGAAATCCTGACAGGGAGTCATCCCTACACCTGTTTTCTTCTGTGTTTTGCACATTTTATTCTCTTCTACATTTATCCTATATTAAAATCTGTGAGTTAGCATGTGAAGAATGTGGTTAGCAAACAGCTCTGAAAACCACCATTCTGTGTACTGCAGTGAAGTGTAAAAGTGGGCAGTGTGATACTCCCTTTCCTTCTCCCTACTGCCAGCCCTCATACCTTCCCTGCAAGCACCTCAACTCAGGACAGCTCTTCATTTCTTAAGCCCTACCTACGGCAGGTCACAGGAAGTTATTTTACTAATTGGGAAGATTGTAAACATGGTTACTTGCCACGTAAATCCGCTACCACTTTCTTCAAGAGTGAGTCTGGAGGAATTCCCTGTGATGGTAAAGATAAGTCTGACACAAACAGCAGAAATAAAACATGAAACAAAGTTTAATAAATACCTTGGCCATTATCCTACTTTGATATAGCTGCTGGCCATTAGTTTTTAAAGGACAGTTTGGGCCTTTTGGGAATCCACAGCTGAGTTTGCATCTTAAACTGCAGAGTGGACTGAACAAGGAGCCTGATCTTTTGGGGTTCTCCATCACAGTGGTGTCAATAATACCAGCACTTTATCAGCCTCTTCCTCCGGGTTTGATAGGCTCTTGTAGTGACTGCTATTATGGGCAAAAGTTCATGTTAATTGCAGTTCATTTTAAACCTGGGCTCTGCTTGCCTACATCTCTGCTCCCTGCCAAGCAAAAACTTACCTATGAAGAGAGATCTCCCTGTCTCCTTTTTCCAACTTTTCAGTCCTCGTGTACCAGGGTAACATCTATTTGAGAGGATTTTTCATGGACTCATCTAATTTTGATCTGTAACTGTGGCATTTCCCTCCTTTTTTTTAACATGTCCATGAAAATCCTCAGTTGCACTTCATCTAAACACAAACGTTTCATTTCTATACCAGGTCATTGTTGTATTTCTCTTTTTTTTTTTTCGTTATTATTTCATTAATTTCAGGTTGATATTAGCAGATGGCTGTATTCCACTGGAAGCTCTTCACAAGTGCTGGTCTCTTTTGGGGACTGGGTGAAGAGTTTTTTTCAAGGAGAGATGTGATGATGTGAGGGTAGCCCTGTGTAATGTAACTGCAGCGTGCTATAAGCAGAGCTAACAAGCCAGGAGAGAAACACACATGCATGCTTGTTGACACACTGCCCATTTGTGTTTATTTATTTACTGTGTTGATTTGGCTTTTCATATATTCCAGAGGAAGATGGAGATCGTTCTCCTGCTGCTCAGGCATTGGCCCGAGCAAATAACATCAATCTTGCAAAAAGCATGGTGAACATTTACACAACCACAGAGAGTGAGTAACATCTTTCTGCTTTTTGGTTTATGTTCCCTGAAGGCAATATATTATGCCTGAGTTCTGCATCCCTGGTGCTTCTGTGCTTGTACTAGGCAAGAAAGATGACATATGGTTTCATCATCAAATTAGAGAGCTTATAGTGCCTAAAATTAAATTCAGAGCCAGGAAATTGCAGTTAGATTGATGGTATGTTACTCAGTGTGTTCAGCAAAAAATTGTGAGGGCTTTAACGAGTTGGCAAGAGGATTGTACCCATCTCTCCTCTTCTCCCACTAAATACTCTGGGACCTGTGTGGCAGCCTGCTCAGCGGATTGATCAGCCTCTCCTCTTGCCCAGAGCAGACCTAATTTGCTGGCCTGATCTCCTCGGCTGCTGGCTGGGACACACTTAATGGTGCCAGTTAGCCCATGGCCAAGAAACCTGGCTGTGCCACCAAGTGGCCCAAGAAAGCAGCAGCCAAGGGAGAGGGCTTGAAGGAAGGCAGCAGCAGCCTCGGTGGCCAAGAAAAGTAGTAGAAATCTACGGAAGATGAAAACTGGCAGGCCCAAGAGGGAAGCTAAGGGCTTGCTTAAAAGCAAAGTGGTAAGGCCAAGGCTTCCAGGACTAAGGTGGAAAGGTTGGGAAAGCAATGCCCAGGGAAAAGGAAAACAGCTTAGAGGAAACAATAGAGCCTGTTTAAGGGAACGTGACCCCTGGTTATGGGATGGAGAGTCCCCTGCAGGCTGCCAAAAGCAGCCTGTGGATGGGGCGTGCTGCACTGCCCTGCCTGTGTGTGGCTGAACCACACCATCCTGGAGCCTGGTGCCGAGTGTGTGCCCCGTCAGATGGTGCAGCAACGTCTGGCACACAGCACGGTGGCTCAGAGCTTCCAGTCCTGCTGTGCTGCTGTTTGGTGACGTGATCTTCATGCAGGGAACCAAGATTTTAGACTTCTCCCATCACAGCTTGTGTAGAGTCACAAACCTCATCCTAGGAAACCCTCTTCTATGGAGTTGCTCCTACTTGTTCCCAGTATAACCAGTAGCCTGTAGAGAGGGCAAAATGTAACACTTTACTCTTGGTTGGAAATAACAGTAAATGCCTTTGCTATCAGAGCAGCTTTTGGGCATTTTAAGCATTGAGTGATGTCTCATCCTGGCTAATATAGCAAGTGTCACCTTGTACTGTCACCTAAAAACAAGCCAGTTGTTTTGGGATGAAATTAGTCATCAAGGAAGTTATTGAGAAAAGATAAAGATAGAACAAAAAGGTTTATATTGTTTACAAGATGCTATGAGATGGAAATATGAGTGTCTTTACATTATTTATTTATTTATTTATTTATTTTTGACAGGGATGCTTGCATTTACTCTAACCGAAATCTATGCAGCTAGATAATCTGGTAGTTGCACATCTCTAAACTAATGAATGAATTGAATTATCCACTAGGGGGAGTTTGCATACTCCCACATCAAATGAAAACGCTGAAAATAGCTTTAGAGCGTTAGCTAGCAGCAGTCTGTGCCTTGTGGAGGGCTCACCTTCAATGGCCAGCAACAGAGATGGGGCAAGTGCCTCCCACTAGCTTTTCCTTCCTCCTTGTGTCCTCTAACAAAAAGGTGACTTTCTTGTATTTTGCTGACTCTGACAACTCATCCTGATGTCGTTTTTCTGTTTGTACTTACAGCATACAATAAACCTCATCTGATACCTCATCAGTTTCTTGAACCTGAAAGAGTCAAAGAGCTGAGCAGATCTTCTCCTCTCCTGTTGTCTGAGGTAGGATAGATACCAGAAATGGCTGGAATGATGTTCACAGCATCCCTCAAATGGCAGTCAGGTTCATGAGAATCTTTTTCCAGGACACTGACAGTACTTGTTTTTGACCCTTCAATCCTGTAGGAGTTTTAATGTTTCCCTCTGCCTCAAACCATGCTATTACCTGCTCTTCGTAAGAGCCAGGGTGGTTGCATGCAGCTCTGCTTGGAGGCAGTTAATGATGACGTTTGCTGCCGGTCGGAGGCAATGCCTCTGGGGAGATTCCCTGCATTCTCCTCTGCTCTCCTAACCTGCTTGCTGCTTAATGGGACTCTGCTGAGCTATTGGTTTTTCTCTCTAGTGTTGCAAAGTGCTCATACGGCACAGCTTAAAGATGCTTATTATTTTCTGAGCAGACAGAATCAGACACGGCTTCAGAAATCAGCTTCCAATTTAGCAAGCACAAAAAGACGCCTAGCATTGGCAGCCACTCCTCTGACATGGCATCTGTCTCCTCGGTAGGTATTTAACGCGTACGTCTCTCTAGAAAGGGTTTCTCCGTTGGATAGTGATGCTGCATTTAGGCTGATACCGATGATGTGGCCTCCGGAGTATCGTGCTGCTTTCTGCATGGTACTTTATTAAAATAACAGTGATGTTTAATTACTTACTTGCATTAAAGAAGTGTCTTCAGGTACCATCTCAAATTAAGGAGCCACTGAGTCATTCTTAGACAAATTCAGAGGAAACAATAGCCCCTGCTCCAAAGCGTAGATGCTCTGAAGCCTGGCAGCATGTGGGAGAGAGGGGTGGTCTGTCTCTAGGTGGGGAAACGAGGCACACAGCTCGTGAGTGACTTGTTTGTGGTCCACCTCTCAGAAAGCTGAGACTGCAGACTGGTGACCTCTGCAAGCTCCTCCTTCACTTTATTAGCAAATTAAAGGGAACTCAGAACTGAACAGCATCAGTATGATTTAGAGGTTTGCTTTCTAAGGAGAGTTGACAAGAGCTGAGCGTGTTTAGTTGGGCATTTTAAAAGGATTCCTTAGACACAGTATTTTTGGGGAGCTGCTTAAAAGTGCTTTAATTCGCTGTACTACTGTTATAGGCATCTCCAAATTGTATATGTGAGATTTAAAGAATATATGTGAAACAAAGCATGTAGGAAGAGGTCGTGACTGTAGACAAATATGTTAAAAAAACAAAGCAAAACTGAACTTTGGGGTGCTTGAGTCTTTCTCATAGCCTGTGAAGTCTGGGAGCTATAAATGAGCCTTTTGTGTCCAAGTCATGTAGGTGTTCTTGAAGATCTCATTTAGGATTCTCTTGGATTTGATATCCTGATGGGATGATAAATGTAGCTCCAAGGACTGAGGGGAGACGTTTAGCAGATTCTTGTAGGTTACCATAGAAAGAAATTGAGAAACAAAAGAAGTATGAGTGACAGAGAAGAATTGGGTTAATTACTAGGAAAGTTTTTTGATACATGCTCAGCATTGTACCACAGAGGAGTGCCAAGAGGGTTAATTATTTGCTGGGTAAAATGCATTAGCTTTTATGTTATACCATCAGTAATCATGAGTGATTGGCCCAATAGAAAATTCTCATCTTTCTGGGGCTGTATTTTATTTCTGTTTCATCACTTTCTACCAGTGAAGGACTTAAAGCCTGGGAAAACAGAAAGTGAAGGCCAGTTGGCAAATGCAGTTTGTTTTGGGAAAGCAAGAGACTCTTTGGTGCCTCGTTCCTGTTATACCTGCAGAAACTTCATTTTCCTGTGCATTTGTGGCAAGTAGATTCCCACAAACTGCCTCTGCTGGGACAGTGGCTTTTCAGGACAGGGGTTATTTCTGTTTCTGTTTTGCACAGCTCTCTGCACTTTGTGAGCAAGCAACAAGATAGTATTATTTTGTCCTATATTTCTAGTCTGATATGGTTCTTAGTAGCCTATTTTTAAAATTGAATGACAATTAGGTGACTGTATCTATCAGAAATAATAAGTTTATATAAAAAGATAGTTCAAGTTCTCTCGGTATATTTGTTTCTTAGTGATGAGACCGGGTCAGGAAAGCAGCTGTTTGTGGGGTTAGTGTAGGGAAAGGGAAGTTACATGTGTTCTCTCACAAGTCATACATGTATTTGGCTCTGTTTCCCAAGGCTTTGGGATTTAGAGGTGGAAATCTTCTGTGTTCAGTGGGCATTTGGGAGAACAGTGCTTCTTAGTGCTGGTCAAGGATAGCACATCCTTGTGAGACCTTTATTCAGATCCCCAAACCCTTGGGCGAGCACAGCTGCAGACATGTCAAGGACTCAGTCCTACTGAAGGGCAGAGATAACAGATTATTTCTCTGGCAGTGCATATCTTTGTGCAGAACTAAGTCTGAACAGTGCCTATTTCAGCGGCACTGACCTTGTTCTCCACCTGGCAGGTGAGTGGCAGTGTGCTCAGTGTGTACAGTGGCGATTTTGGGAGTGTGGATGCCCAAGGTACTGTGGAGTTTGCACTAGATTATGACGAGAAGAACCGGGAGTTCCAGGTTCATGTGTCCCAGTGCAAGGACCTGGCTGTCGTGGATGAGAAGAAAGGCAGATCCGACCCGTGAGTGATGCTTCCCGCTGGTGTTTCATGGCTTTTCTGATGCTGAATTTTGTGTTCTAGAGAATTTTCTTTTTTTCTTATGAATTTTATTTTTAAATGCCATAATTTCTTCCTTCCTCTAGAATTCTGTTGTGTGTTTACTGCTGGGTCTTTCCTAGCTGATGGTTCTGGAGCCATTGGCATCAGTAAATATGTTGTCATTGACTTAGTTTTGAATAGGATTGAGAAGGCTTTGGTCACTACAGGGACAATTCCTGTTATTACTGAAATATGTTCTACATGTTTCCATGTGAACCTTGGTCTCTCCATGGTGAATACACATTGGTAATAACCAGTGATGTAGACACGTGTTTATATGGGAAGAAAGTCTGAAAAGAAGTGACATTAGAGGACACACTGGTAATTGAACAAAGGCTAGTGAACTCTGTTTAATAGATGACAAAAAAAAAAAAAAAAAAAAAAAAAAAAAAACCTTGTATTTGAACCTTGAAATAGAGAGATTTGTAATCAGGCTTCTTGAGACATTCTACCTCTTCTCTCTAATTTCACCCTGATGCTGAGCACACAGAAATGCTGTAGTTGTGGGCATTTCAGAAAATGGATATACAGCCTTGCTGGCTTCCCATGCTGCCTAGAGAGCTGCTTGTTCTGAATGTTGGTGGCATCCACCCATCCCCAGTGCAATTTATAACTTCAAGTGCAAGCCAAGTTAATATCCTAGCAGGTCTCTTAATTAGTTTTGCCTCCAAAGAGTCAACTCCAGGTCATTTTTTTTCCCATAAATCCCATGTCACCACCCAGAAGTCTTGACTGCTTATTAGAGCATAGCAATACTGAACAGTATCCAGATGATTTTTTATTTTTTTTTCCTTTTCCAGGTATGTTAAAACTTACCTGCTTCCAGACAAAGCTAGAATGGGTAAGAGGAAAACCTCAGTGAAGAAAAGGACAGTGAATCCCATTTACAATGAGGTGTTACGGGTAAGAACACCTATCTGCTCTGAAAACCCATGCGGTACCAGGGCAGGTCTGGAATGAGCCTGCCTTCTTTGCTGGGCTCCTTCACCTGCCTCTTGCTGCACTGCTCTCCCCTTGGGTTGTGAGAGAAACTGGAGAAAGAAGTTGAGCGACCTGACTTCTCTTTCTTCCTCTAGTACAAAATAGAGAAAATGGTATTGCTTATCCAAAAATTAAACCTCTCTGTTTGGCACAATGACCCACTGGGACGTAACAGTTTCCTGGGAGAGATTGAAATAGACTTGGCCAGCTGGGACTGGAGCAACAGGAAACTCAACTGGTACCCGCTGAAGCCCCGGGTAAGTGCAGCTCAGCTCCAATCCTGCTTCCCAACCCAACCCTGAAGCCTGAAGTGGCAGAAGTCCTTCCTGGCAACCTTGCTCTGAATCCTCAGGCTTTTGGTTCTGAAGGACTGAGTATGAGAGCAAAACCACAAAGTAAGGAGCTGTCCCAGCCATACAAAAGCAGAGTTTGTCCATTTGTGCCCCTGCATTAAACTCAAAAGCTGTTTGCCCTGCTGTTAACAGAAGCCCTTTCTTAGTCAGTCATAACTCTTTCTGTTTCAGAGCCTTTCTGCTGTTAATGGTGTGGATCATCGAGGAGTGATGAATTTGTCTATTAAGTACGTCCCTCCAGGAAGTCTAGGTAAAATTCATTTCATACATTAAGAAGCATTGCCTGCATGTTGGCGTGCAGCTCGCAATGCCTCATCTGTATACGGGCTTGTTAAAGAGTAATGTCATTTGAGCAAGATCTTAGAGATGAGGGGCAACCACCAGTGCTTAGTAGTGCCACCTGCAGACTACATCTGCTTTTCACACCTGGATTTAGGAGGAAACAGGGCAAATGGAGGGAGGGTTCAACAAACTTAAACTCACCAGCTGTTATGGACACTGCAAGCACTGTCGGGTGCTGTGATGCTGTAGCAGCAACACACAGCCCCTCTTACTGTGGGGCAGGTAGGAGGTCGGGTTTGCCCAGCAGAGCCTTTTCCTTTCCTGCTTCAAAGCAGCACGGGCAGGTTATGTCAGTGACTGGCAGTCCTCTGCAGCTGCACAGCTGCAAGTAATGCTGCGGCACCCAAGCAGAGGAATGCAGAGCTCCTGGGGACTGAGTCTGCAGAGAAGTCACATCACTGCTCCCTCAGGTTGAGGGAGCAGGATGCCTGTTTTCTTGCTAGCTATTGCAGGAACTGACCCCAGAGTTTTTCTGTTGTTCTAAATGGCAGGTCCCAAGAATCCTCCATCTGGTGAAGTTCACATTTGGGTCAAAGATGTCAAGGACCTGCTGCAGTTGCGTCCTTCTGGAGTTGACTCTTTTGTGAAATGGTAAGTGCCTGAGCACGGTCTTGACTTAGATGATGGGTCTGTGCCTCCATGGAGCAGTATGTTTTCTTCTCTTTTCTCAGGCTCACTCACCTGTGTTTCCATACTGTAAAGCTGTGTAGGAGAGAATTGCTCTTGTTACTCTCCTGTGGCTATATTAGAAAAAAATTTGCTGTGGTAAAGCTCTGTCTGTGACTCCCTCAGCCTCAATAATGCCTGAGTGAAAGGAAGATGGTGGACCCTGTACCTTGCTTTGGTGTTTTCATATGAAGTTGTGAATTTTGAAGTGATAAGGACTTGCACACAAAGTTTGCGAATGTGTTAGGGACTTGCCAGAACTGACATACGTGCAGTTGGATCCTGCTTTGATCTTGTCCAGAATTCAGTGTGTGCATGTGTTCTGCAGCCTGCGACATCAGTACTGCCTGTTATATGGCAGGAGGTGCTACAAATACTTCAAAAAGTTAAAAATAACTCAGATTTTAAGATTTTCTGGCTCTTTGAAGTCCTCACTATATTTTTGTATGTTTTAAGAAAGTATTCCTGCAAAAATGTTTGTTGCTCAGGAAGCTTAACAGTCTGTTTTGAAATGATCTTTTGGGCATTTGTTTGATGAATAATTATGAAAACAGAAATATGTGAAAATAGTGTCCATTTTTAAAAAGTAAAGTGTTACTTTGAAAAAAAATGCCTAAAGCAGGAAATTTTAAAGTAAGTACCCTTCCTTCCTAAAAATGTTTGCTTTAAAATTGATTTTCTTGGGGGAAAAAATAGCCCAGGGATTATCAGAGAATCATAGAATGGTTTGGGTTGGAAGGGACCTTAAAGCTCATCTGATTCCAACCCCTCTGCAATGGGCAGGGACACTTTCCTCTAGACCAGGTTGCTCAAAGCTCCACGCAACCTGGCCTTAAACACCTCCAGGGATGGGACATCCACAACTTCTCTGGACAACCTGTTCCAGCGCCTCACCACCCTCAAAGCACATTATAAACATTTCTCATTAAATCTATAGAGATTTCTTACTTTGAAATCCAGTTCCTCCTTTCTCCAGGCATGAGCCTTGTTTAGACCTGGAAGTCTGTAGGAACAACTCAAACCTCATGTGATACTCCATACTACATGCTGTCCTTTTTCTTCTCTCAAAGCTATGTGCTTCCAGACACAAGTAAGAAGAGTTACCAGAAGACCCGAGTCATAAAAAGAGACACAAACCCTATTTTCAATCACACTATTGTGTATGATGGCTTTCATACAGAGGATCTAAAGGATGCGTGTGTTGAGCTGACTGTGTGGGATCATGAAAAACTAACCAACCATTTCCTTGGAGGAATCAGGCTGGGCCTTGGGACAGGTAAGTGATTTCAGTTACATTAAATGAATACTTTTACTCTATTGCTGAGCCACGAGGTATAATGGGAAGTTGCAGGAAAATTCCTGTTGGTGAGAAACCAGGTATAGGGAATCTCAGTAATTGTTTTGGGTCTTGGTACTTGCACTGTGTCGGGGTTGTAGGGGGCCCTGGTACTGTGATAGCAACCCTCTCTGCTCGCATTTTCTCCCAACATCAGCTCTGAGGTTCAGCAAAACTCAAGAATCGGCTTGAGTCCAGCAGAATCCAGACTGCATTACAAATCAACATTACATTGCTGTTCCTTCCAGTGAAGAGCGCTCAGAGCTGAAGACAAGGAAATTAAATGCCATGTGAGACAGCACCACCTGGTGACTCCATCATCACCTCCTCCCTTGAAATGCTTTAATAAGAGCAGCAACTAATATTTGAAAAACAGGGCTAGATGCACTAGTTGTTCTGGTCTCAGTCATTACTGAGAGAACACCAGCATTGATTAAACCACAAATTGAAAGAAATTGAGTTGTCCGGGAGTAGACTGAGGTGTTGTTTATTTTTTTGTTTGTTTGTTTGTTTGTTTGTTTGGCTGGTTGGTTGGTTTGTTTTCTTCTTTTGATTTTACTAATTTAGATGATGAAGTGCTGAAAGAAAACAGTGGAGGTGCCATTTGCTATACTGGAAGACAGTTGCTGTCTCTGGGAGTTTATGGCATGAGTTTCCAGTTGAAAGAAGGACTTAAACCTGTGGTTAGCTGGAAGTGTTTTACTTCATTGGGGTTACTCACCCTTGAAGATAGGAAAATTCCAATATTTTTAAGCCTAAGCTGGAAAAAATGGATGGGACTATCTCCCATAATCAAGTCAATCATGGAGGTTTTGTCCCTCTCTAACCATCCTCTTCCAGCTTTCAGTGTACCCCCATACCTAGGCTTTGATGGATAGCAAGTTCATCTTTGTATTTTGGCAAGTGGGAGATCTAAGGGTTTTTAAACAACGTATACTTACTGCGAAGCAAGAGGAGTCTCTGAGAGATGAAAGACAAACAGAAGCTGTCAGAGCTTTGTAATAAAGAGTCACTGTCCCTTGAGGGTATCAGGAAGAGGCTTATTGTAGCTGGAAGGTCTGCCTTGCAGGTACACTTGTTTATTGGATTTGCTTATGTGTTCTCTGTTTTCACTCTCTAGCATGTCACCAGAAGGGTTGTGAATTATCTGGTGGGAAGTGGCAACAAAAATAAGTTCATAAACAAGATGTAAAAACACCAATCCTAAGATTAGCTGTGATCCAAATTTAGACCTTTATCTAATTGGCAAGCAGTTGGCATGTGAAATTTGGTTGAATAAATTAACTTGGAATTAATGTACACACTTTTACAGTATCGTATGTTTTATTCCAATAAAAACAAAGTGTAGAGCAAGAGAATTTTGAAAAGTATCTCCCCCCCCCCCCCCCCCCATCCATAGCAAGATCGAGGGGAAGACCAAACCTTGTAGAACTTCTTTACCATTCTGAAAGGCGCAATAAAGGGCTTGAGCCCAATATTATTTTCCTTGGAAGGTTATATTTAGGGTTCTTGTGTTTTGGGGCTTTTACAGTGACTGTATTCTGAACTCTGGTGTAAAATGGAGATCATTAGCAGAACAGAAGGTGCTTTCAGTGGAACTTGGTGAGAGGAAGTCAGCATCTTTTAGGTTAAGACCCTACCTGCAGCAGTTACATCCCATTGAGTATTTTTTGCATGGAGTAGAACTTCCTCAGGCAGCTCCCGACGCTGTTGTCTCCTCATTTTTCTTCAGGTTTGAGCTATGGCATCTCCGTGGACTGGATGGACTCCACGCAAGAGGAGGTGGCCTTTTGGCAGGAGATGATGTCTGCTACCAATGAATGGATTGAGGGGTTGCTGCCACTGCGTTCACTGGCAGGGAGGAAAAAACTTAAATAACCTACTGTATGTTCTAGAGAAAGGCTGAACACGTTTGTTAGAATTAGGAAACCTCCTGTCCTGAGGTGGATCGAGACTGTGGGGCCGGCAGGTGTCACTTCAATGAGGCAATTGATGGACAGCACTTTGGAAACGTTAAACATAAAGTACTAATTCCCTGACAGAGGAGCTGGAAGGTGCCTAACTGACACTATAGTTGATTTTGACCAAGAAGAAACTTTGTTTGCCTTTTTGCTTAATCATTTATATTCAGTGTATTTGAATTCCATTAAGCTCTGGGAACATTGTCAGGGAAGAGGAGGTATAGATATTTTATTTTTTTACTGTTCCTTGTGCTGTTGGTGTTTTTTGTTTTTTGTTTTGTTTTGTTTTGGTTTTTTGTTTGTTTTGTTTTTGTTGTTGTTGTTGTTTTGTTTTGGTTTTTTTGTTTGTTTGTTTGTTTGTTTTTTTTTCCTGTGCAGAGATGTAGTTTTACTAAAGCAGCAGCGTGGAATTACTCATATTTCCCTGCAAGTGGTACACTTTGTACTTGATGTAGAATTGCTCCAAGTCACCAGCCAGCAGTCCGAGAATGAGAGCTTTGCGTTTGTTGCTGGTGATAACATGTCTGTAACGTGAGGGAAATTGAGATCCAAGGTGAATCCAAAGAAAGAGAGGACTATTTGAAGCAGAAAATGAAGCAGCCTGAGGAGGATAACGATGAGGAATTCAATGCATAAAATCTTTTCTGCTTTAAAATGAAAGAGAGAAGAGATGATCCTGCGGCTAGTGGGATTTTGCAACCAGGAGCTGCTTTCCTACCTGTCCCACAGGCTTCCTCAGTGACCTCAGGCAAGTTACTCAAGACAATTCCAGTGCAATATAAACTGAAGTGCTCACCCAAATGTAAAATATTGTTACATTGCTAATGGACCTAATAGCATCTTTGAAATGCCTTGTGTGCAACACATTTCAGTATGAAATAATGATGTAGAAAACAGTCTTGTGTTAGCCTGGCGCAGTGGGTCAGGAAGGAAAGGTCAGAACCACTGTGAAATTCAGGAGGTCTTGGCAACTGCTGGGAGAGAGGCAAACAGGCAGTGAATGAAGACAAAGGGTAGCTGCAGAGCTGAGGCCTGGGGTGAACTCCTGCCTCTGCATATCTTGCTGCCCTTCTCATCTACCTTTCACCTGATGCCTCAGCCTCTTGTTCAGAGCTGGAGTCACCTCCCTGCCAATAGCTTGCAAGAACTTTGCGTCTGGCGCACTAGCAGCAGCCAAGGGGCATTACGAATGCATTTTGAAATGCAGCTGTGTAATTTTTACTTTGGATGTACATATTGCAATTAAATTGAATGGTTTTCTTTAGTCATCAGCTGGTCTCCTTGTACCTATCTTTAGCGTGGTCTGAGTAATGAAGTCGCAAGCAAAAGAGGTGTTATATTTTGTCATGTCAAAAAGAACCCAAGGACAAGTGAAATGTTGTGCAGAAATATTTTTTTGTAGCTATCTCGTCTTAGATTCTGGTTCTGTGAATATTTTGATATTCATCTTTAATGTATTGCTTTTATTTTTAAACTCAAACAGGATTCATTTTCAGCTTCACAAAGATGGTTCTAAATAAATGGAAGAGAATATGTATGGTTGAAGTGACAAGATTTTTTCATGAAATGAAGACATTTGGGAGATAACCAGCAGCTTTAGTGGAAAAAAAATATGGTTATGCAATTGGAAAAATATAAAACTTGAAAATGTACTGGTTATAGTAATGAAAGCACTAACAGGAAGTCTGTACAGCAACAGAATTAATTAATGACTAGCCTAATGAAGGACCTCATACGCATACATAGCATGTCAACCCAAAGATACTTCGTATGGCGCTCCAGCCTGGCATAATTTGTTTACCAAGATTTGGTCATTTATTACCTTTGTGGGATAAAATAGCAATTTGGGGCCATGGGTAAGAGTTTTTAAATGATTAGCTTTACCTGTTTAGGTGCTGAACATGTGAATACTGATGCATAAATATGACTTAATTTCGACGAGGAGGCCTGCTTGTTGGAGTGGTTGGCTTGGTGCAATGGAGTTACCTGCGTGACTGCTGCTCTCACCCCAAACTCTTCCTTGTCCTGCAGCCTGCCTCCCAGGGAGATTTCTGCTGTGGCTGCAGATGTGGTTGGTAATACCAGGGGCTTTGGCTCAGGCAGGTCCAGATCTCTCTCCAGAGGCTCCTCCGACTGCTCATCGTTGCAAAAATGGAGTCATCGTGCCTGCTCCTCCTCCTCCTCACGTGCACTATTAGCACAGGCGGTTGTGACGATGTTGCCAATGCTGCTGTTTACAGAAATGGAGCTGGAAGTGTTTGTTTTGTGTTTCAGAACATTAGCATCTCTTTCACTAGTGTTGCCAATAAAGGGAGAAAAAGGATGTCAGTGGGCCACTTTCATCCCAGAGTAGTTGCTTTTATGAAGTTGGCTCAGAACTCTGTGAACAAACTACTTCTGTATTCAGATTTCATTGAGGGTTTTTGTTAATCTTTCGCTAGCTTGTTTATTTAAATAAAGCCCTGATTAACTTAAGGAGCTTTCTTTGGCATTTAGTGGTTTATCAGAGTAAAAGATTACACTGCCAAACCACATACACATTTGTAACACAGCTGAAGCTGAGGGAGTAAAATTTCCCATGTCATATCTGTTTCACTTACTATGCAGAAAGCACTTTATCAGGAAAAAAAAAAAATAATAAAATTAGGCACTTTTATTGTCAGTGACGTGCAGGAGTGGAGGAGCTTGTGAATATAAGGGTAACAGCCTGTTTGTACGTGGCTTTCTGGCTGTATTTACTAGTTCATTGCAGAATAGGTTCAGCAAAGTTTCATAAGAAGGCAAGACTCGATGCTTATAGTAAATGTGTTTTAAGACTCATTTCCCTGAACGTGAGCGTGCAGGTACCAGCAGGAAGCTGTGCTGATGCCAACATCTAAGTCGTGGTGCCATGTCCTGCAGTCACCGATCTCTTGCTGGATGCAGAAGTAACCCCAAGGAGTGAGTAGGTTGAAGGGTTGCAGTCTGGTACCCTTAGGCACTATCTGCTGAAAATAAAACAAAAATCTGTGACTACAGTAGAGGTGGGCAACTGCTTTCCATACATGTTCTGCATCTGAGAGTACATGTGCTGCTTTTGAGCTTATGCCTTATCTATACAACTTTTTCTTGGAGATCTTTACAAGCAAGAAAATAAGAGAAGGCAAGATTCTGGGAGTATTTCTGTCTACTCAGGCAAATATAATACGTGGCGTACGTCCATTTGAAACTGTTCATATTACAGGTGTCAGAAACTACCCAAAAACACATGTAGTTCAGAAACTAAAGAAGAGAAAGAAAGAATTGCTGAATCTTGAACAATATTCAGTGAATGAGTGTCTCAGAGGAGATGGAAAATAAGTGGTTGAATTAATTATCCATTACTAAATATTTGCTCAGCTTTATCCTTCACCAAGGCAGGAAAAAATAAATTGTGGTGATTCGAGGAGAAAATGATGCTGGCTAAATGAACCCATGTGATAATATCTATTGAAATATGAAATGCTGTATTTTTGAAAGCTTGTTAACTTAGAAATGTATCAAATAGACCAGTTTATGAAAAAAATGAATAAATAAATACACTGGTTCCTGATAAGAGCGTGCATATTCAGCACCAGGTTGGTTGGTTGGTTTTGTTTGGCTGTTTTGTACTTGCTGTAGCTTTCATAGCTGGATCCTTTTTTTTTTTTTTCACCTGCCTATTTTCCACCCCTCAGGTGTCCTAGTTGTCTGCTGTTATTGTTAAAACAGATGCCCAGGAGGAGATGTCCCTCGGTGTATCCATGAAGATTTTCTCAAGACATTGTGAAACTCACTGTAAAGCACCCTGCAAAAGCGCGTTAGCAGAGATGCCATAAGGTATTTGTTGCTGGAACCGTGCTGCTGTCTCAGCAGTGCTGCTGCTGCACAGGATCTTACTGACGTGTGGGAAGTTCCCAAGATAGAAATCCCTTCCCGTGGGATCTGCCAGGAGGATCAACCACTTCTTTCCAGGGGGTGCACTTTTATGGGAGGCTCTGCCACAAGGAGCAGCTGTCCCAGTGAGGGTCTGGGTGAAGTCTGTGGGGCCACAGGGGGGCTTTGAGTGTGTTTGGTATTGCAGTGCCAGCTCCTGCTCTGCTGTGAGCAGAAGAGGGACGATTTGCGATGAGGTTTTGAGCAAGAGCAGGTGACATGAGGGTGCCCATTCCTACCTTTGGGGTTTTTGCCAGCTTCTCCCACCCTTCTGAATGGGTTGGTCTGGAGGGTGCTGGGCCATCTCAGAATAGTGCAAAACTGAGCATCAGCCTCCAGGAGGGCCATGGAGAACTCACTGTCAATGGCTTTCTTCTGGGGAGCGACAGGCGTGGAGAGCTGGAAATGTCTCCACCAGGAGGCCCGCAGGAGTTCCGCAGCCCTAGACCAACCTCCCTTTTATTTTGCATTAATTTCCCTGTCAATCCACAGAAACTCCTCCTGTCAGATAGTAAAATCTGAATGAAGTCAGGTGAAGACGTTAGCAGGCGCAGCATCATCCTAGCAGGGGTGGAAAAACGCTAGTGGGAGCAGGGGCTGAGCTTGCAAGGTTTGCTGGTCATACCGGGTTTGTGCCCAGAGGACTCCAGCTGGCGGTCCTGCTGGAGATGGGCTGGCAGTTGTGGCGTGCTTAAGCAGGCAGCTACTTGCTTTTTAAAATGCTGTAAAATCATATTAGGCTGGACTTGTCCCTGGGCTGTGGCAATCCAGGCTCCAGTGTGGACCAAAGTTAGCTAAACCAGCCCTGCTTTGATAGATTGCCCTAGGAGGAAAGGAAGGAGGCCTGAAGATGAAGGTAGTTCCCTGCTGCTCAGTTGTCAGATTTTTTGCCAGGGCTGCAGTCAGGATTTAGTGAATTACTTGGTGGCCTTTATTGTACACAATGCAAAATGTGTAACTCCACAAAGCCACAGTCCTACCCCCTGCAGTACCTGAAAGACCCCTACAATTAGTCTTCAGCAAGCGTTGCAGTTTCTGATTAAAAAAAAAAAAAAAAAAGGCCTGGGTTTAGAGGCATGGAGCAGCTCAAATACCAGTATGCTTTGCCTTTTCTTACTGTACAGAGCTGCCTGTGCTGTCATGAAACTTGAGGTGCTACCGGTAGGAACCGAAATCAGATCTCATGCATCTGACAACCCATAATGCCATCCCGCTAGTTGCAAACAATCCCAAGTAGCTCTTGAGCTGTAAGCAAGCACCCTGAGCACTGGGCTCAGAGGGGCAGCTAGGGAGCTGTGTTCTGGTAATGTCAGTAGCTCAGACACCCACTCTGTAGGAAGAAAAATCACAATAACCTCTTCTCCTCTCCTCCTCTCTCTCCTACTCACCATTACTAATTTATCGTGATTGTAATGGTTTCTATTTGCTCTAAGCAGATCCTGTTCCCTTCCTAGGAAGACCTGAACAGCTACAGAGACATAATATTCCCAGTGGAGGATCTGTTTTTGGATTCAGCCAGACTCAGGCAGACTTAATGATCTTTAGATGGGAGCCCCCCCTTTTTCGACTAGCCCACCCATGCCCATTTTAATGTGATTGTAATCTGAAATCGGACACTGGGAAGTGCATCTGGATTAACCCATCCCACGGTAATGAGCCGACTTTTAATTTATTCTACCAGGGAAACCTTCTGAAAATGTTTTACGTCTCTTCAGAAACCCAGCCAACGCTTGCTCCTCGCACCAGCTGCTGGTGCTGGAGGCTGAGTCCTGCATGCACCTCTGGTTATTTCACAGCACTCAGCCTGCGTCTGCTCGACTGTTTCTGGTGTGATCCCACCAGCTGCTCTGCCACAGAAGTCGACCAGTGCAACAGGCCCCTCAGCCCAGCCAAAAGCCAAGGGACAGAGGCATCATCCTGTGTCTCTTGGTGATCAGCCCTGCCTGTGTTTTCCCCAGGCTGCTCTTGTTGGATTTAGGGCTGTCACCTTGTCACAAAGTCCTAAATTATGCTCCCTGTGCCTGCTGTCAGCATGGCTGTCAGTTCCTAAGCACCGTGTAGTGCCCTTGGCTTTACACTTGTCTGCACCACCTGGACTAACTGTGAGCATCCTATAAATAAGAAACATTAATTTGCTTACGACTTTCCCTCTGCCCCAGGTTTTACAGGGGCACACAGGAGCTAGCAGGTCAGGGGTGCCATCATGTCCCTGTCAGTGGTGCAATCTGTCTCGATGTCACATCTCCTGGGCATGCCTAATTTTCCAGGGCTGTTTGTTTGGAACTAGCTAATAAATTGCTGTTGTGAGCCAGCCCCGTTGTGACCTGTAACTCTCGTAAGTGCCTGGTCTGGCCTGTTTGGTGTCATGTGCTCCCGGGGCTCCCCTTGGGTGCAATTTATCCCATTGGTGCTGAGCGGGGCTGGGAGATAAAAACCCCCGAGGGCCAGGGGACGTCTGCCTGTGCTTTTGGGCGCCTCGCTCGCACACTGCCCCGTGCAGGGTGGGCACAGGCTGGGGCTGTCCTGCACGGCTCCTGTGCAGGCAGCCCCGCAGCGAGGGACAGCTGATTGATTGTGTGTTTTGTAGCCTTGGAAACTGAAAGGGCATTAAAATTGCATACTGTGTGCGGTGCTGATGCACTCTCCTCCTCGTAGTGCTGCCACCGGCTTGGAGACAGCTTCAATCTCCAGCTGAAAACCAAGAGGTACAAAGGGCACCAGCAGGTCTTGGGGAGAGACTAAACTACAACCAAACAGCAAAATATTCAGAGGGAAGGATCTGTGGGTGGCAGTGCTGGAGTCCTGGGGCAGGGTCTGACTTTCAGCCCCACCAGCGTGGGGCCAGACGTGCCCTCCCTGTGCTGCGGTTGTTTCGGGCAGCTTTCCCCCAGCACTAGCGGCACTCACCGTCCTGTCCCTGCCAATAAAACCGCTTTAGCATCAAATCTAGGTTACTCTCCCTTCCAGACACCAGATTTTCCATTTTCTAAAATAGTACCAGAACGAGGGCTCTCCCAGGATCCCGTTTGCTCCTACCTGCCCTGTTGCTGCCCATCAATCTCGTGGCTGCCTGCCCACACAGCGGGTGTTCATCTATACGCGTGTGGTAGAGGAGGTGAAAGTACCGTCTGCGTCACGGGATCCTGGGGGTTTATTTGCTGGGAAAACGGGTCCCTGATGCTCTGGGAGTGCCAAGGTTTTTCCTCTAGATCCTACTGGGATCTAGATCTGCCGGGCACCATCCCACCCATCTGTGCCCTCCCTGGCTCCTCGCAGCCTGGGGAAACTCAGGGCCCTTCAGCTGCTCCCCGTCAGGGCTCATGCTGCAGCAGCACAGCTGAGCCCAGAGTCCCCCAGGACCCCCTGTCTGGACGGGTGTCCCCTCCTGGGGTCCCCTCCTGCCACCAGAAACTGCCAAAAAACAGCCGCCAGATCTGAAGAGAAACCACACTGAAACCTGTCAGAGAAACGGACCGGGGAGGTGGTGAGTGTGTGGGGAGGAGGAGCGAAAGGAAAAGGGTGCAGAGAAACCACAATTTGTTGTGGGCTTGAAGTAATGGGCATCCAACGCTCAGAAATCATACAGCTAAATGCAACAGATCCCCACAAAGCCGTGCTGGCAGTGAGTCACTGGTTAATGTACTGGTAACTTGGATTTATAGGTTTAATACTTTTTCTGTTGCTGTGCAGATTGCTTCATCAGTTTTCTTTCCTGTCCTGAGGTACTGTAAAATAGGATCTTTTGGGTTGGTTGTTTTTTAATAAATGTACCATATTTCAAGGAAAACGTTCCTTGCCATTTTTCCCCAAGCCTTGAAGTGGTCTCTCTGATGTCCTCGTCCAATTTGCAGGCTAACTAACTACCTCATACCTATATAAATGCCCTTTTTTGAGGATTAAAGAAGTACAACAGTCACTGCGAATGCGTTTATTTCAATAGCGGTCATGCAGGCAGGGCTCTTGAATGAAATAAACTTATTAAAAAACCTGTTTCCTAAATAATAATAAAGTTTGATGCTTATTTAAGTTAATACACACAACATAGTCAAGATTTTTAATAATTACGTGTGAGCGTTTTCCCTTCCAGAGACCACAGCTCTGCTTTGGAGGTGCTGAAGGAGCTGGAGCTGGGCCGTACCCCCCGAGCACGGCACCACTGCTGCTCGGGACCTGCCGAGCGCTGCCTGCGGCCGAGATCTCGGAGTCTGAGGCACATTTGGGGCGTTAGAGCTGGGGGGTGCCTGGGGATGTGTGGAAACGCTGCGTGATGGCAGACAGCGCTACGGGTGCTGCTGGCGGGTTCCTGGGCAGCCTGCAGGCCTGAGCACGGCTGCACAGAGCGAGGCGACACGGATTGCAGCTCTGTGGCGTTGTGGTGCTGAAGGTGCAGGTGTTCTCAGGGCTGAGGCTCTGTGCACCACGCATCAACACCCGCCTGCAGCTCTGTGCGCGCTGCGTTTCGTCAGCCCGTTACTCACACACCGCCCCCCGCCCGGCCGCTCAGGGCCCTACGGAGAGGCGGGGTGGGGGCAGAGGCGCCGCGCCCCGCGCTCCGCTCCCTCAGGCAGCGGCAGCCTCGGCCCCTGCGCCCCCCCGCCCCCGTCCATTCGGGGTCCGCCCGCACCCCGCTCCCCTCAGCCC